GGCGGGAACGTTCCGGGGAAAGCGGTTGGCAGTTAGGAGCTGTTTTGCATGAATTTCCATATGGAACGAAACGTCAGAAAAAGGCCTTCCGGTAACCAAGGATGCTTCGCTAGCCCCTAATGCAAAGAGGGTTTGTGCAATGCCCCAAACCACAGCCAACCCCATGTTAGCTTGTCTTTTCGAGTCCACAGGAATAATTTATAAGACTGTGTGGCACGCTTGGCAAACCGTGACTATATTAACCACGGATGTTTTGCAGCATCCTGCAAAATAAAACTAAAAAAAGAAAAAGGGAGATTGTCTTGGTTCCAGGTGAAGCGGCGATCTTTCATTTTAAACTCCGGCTAGAGGATGCTCCAATTCCCAGGAGCCACAGGCAATGTCGCAAGGCTGATTTCTCTTGAAATGGGCTTCCTTAATTTCTTTTTGAGCCACCCATGCCAGGCGAGGGAGTGACGGGACAGGAACAGGCCAGCTGGGTACGGGCACAACCGGGTGGGCATGCAAAGCCACCCGTGGGCAAAGGGCGCGCTCGCGTTGAGGGGTCCCGCGCCAGAAGCTGAGCCGTGGCCTAACCAAACGGGCCAATTTGGCACCCATTGAAAATAGAAAGGAAAAAAAACAGCCTGGTTAAAGACGCACCGCACGGCGCACAAGGGCGCTCACTGACCCAGTTAAACATCTTTCTGCAAATGCTGGACAGATACCAAGGTTGAACAGAGAGCTCCGTTTGGGGGACCTTCCCAAATAAATCCACGCTTGGGGGAAACCGTTTCCTTTTCGCCAGGGTGGCTGGAAGGAGGATTCGGAAAGCCCCGCCGTCAGGCCTGCGCGCTCCAGCCCTTTCTGTAGATTTTCTAATTCCTACTTTTGGGAGGCAAGTAAGTTATTTTAATAATCTGGGGTTCCCGGGTGGCTCTGGAGTCTTGGCAGATGGTCCTGCGTGGGCACATTCAACAGGCTTGTCAGTAAATAATACACTTATTAAGTCTTGCTTTTTATCCGGCTCTGGGTTCCTAACGCTGAGCCAGAAATAAGGATCAGCAAGTTGTCAAATTCTGGTTGTGTCATATTTCATTTCATTTCATTTCATTTCTTTTTTTCCTTTTCTTTCCCTTTATTTTTACTTTATACTTTATTTATTTTACCTTATTTCCTTACATCACTTCATCTGACTTTATTCAATATCGTATTTTGCCTTCTGCCTCTCATTTCTCTATCCTCTGGCTCCTTGGTGGAAACCTGGCAAGGGTTTTATGGCAAGGCCACTCCAAACCACCCCAGAACGAAAACAGTGGTGGAAAATGCGCGTCTGGTTTAATTCTGCGGGCAGCCGCGGGGCATTTGAATTATTATTTTAGCAACGCGCCTTTCTTTGGCACGCTGTCCCGTCCGAGCAGATGGCGAGATCGATTGATATGGCCAGAAAGGGTCAGGAGAAAACCATCATCGTTCGATATCATGGCAGCTCAGCGGACTTCCAGGAGATCTTCCCCCTAATCCCCGATACAGAGTCAGGAAAATGACCTTGGGCAGAAATCGTAACGTGACCAAAAAAGGCTGAAATGTTCTTTATGTGCAAGGAAGCCAGAAAATATCTGGAACTGCTTTCCTGATTCACTGGACAGGAAGTAAAGCACAACCAGGCTTGCAAAATTCTGGTTGTTAGAGCAGAGTTTCTCAACCTCGGCAGCTTTCCGATGCGTGGACTTCAACTCCCAGAATTCCCCAGGCTGGGGAATTCTG